TAATTCAAACTAATAATAAAGGGAAGCTACATAAATATTGAATCACGAGGACACCGAGAGATCACTTACGCCAAGCTGGTTCAGAAATATACCACAACTTGAAGAGGTTGGAAGGTCTATTTAAGGTCATCCAGTCAAGATATCACAAAGCTGATACCCTACATGATGTTTATATGTATTAACATATTAACTACAAAATATATATGTTTATATAGGATGTATATTATATAATTAATGAGTACAATAGAGAGGTGCGACTTATCTACTGAAATACAATAAAAATGAACCCAGAGTCATAACATTCAGGATTTTATTCAATAATCATTTAATAAGCACCTCCATGTACCTGACATTATGTTAGTTGTTACTGGTTCTGTCACTTCTATCTCATATAAACTTAACTGTGATAGTTATTTCCATTTAAAGATCATAAAATGAAGATTCAGAAAGATCAGAAATGTGATGCATAGCCTGTAAGGAGCAGGACTGAAATTCAAAAGCAGGTTTGATGACCAAATCCAACAGTCTTTCTTCTATATTAAATCAAAGCTGCTTCCTCCATTTTTATGACAGGTCTTGTCCAATGCCTTGATTATTTGCTGTTGAGGCTTGATCAATGCATTGTTCCAATGAGCAAATATAATGCATGATAGTAGCATTGCTTTATTTACTCAACTTCCAATACTGCATCACAGTTAGAATAGCAATTGACAACATGTCATTATACATTCTAGAAGTCAAAAATAATAACTTTTTCTTTTAAAATTTCAAAAACAGGCCTTTAACAACTAGCTATCAATTTATCAGAGGACCGTAGAGGAGGATAAAAGAAGTAATGGTAAATTTCTTTCTTATGAAGCAATGTTTACATATAGTTCTTTATGCTATGCTTTTCAGTTCTAGGCTCTTTATTCTGCTTTGAGTTTTTATGATTCCTCCATTACAAATATTTCCTATTCTGAGAAGTACTGAAAAATGAAGTACACAAAATTATATGGTCCAAGGGATTATAACCTAGCACTTAGTTTTCTCCTGCTTCTCTTCTTTATTTCCCCCAGATCTATCTCATGCTTTCCTTCTTACTTACTTTGTCTCCAGTACAGGCTGCTGGATGGAACTTGCCATGTACCAAGTATCCCTGGGCAAGTCACCATAATCCCTCGGTGTTATCACTCTCCTCTATGATGCTATGAGAGCATCATCACGCGCAGT